TTCCAGTACTATATTGAATAGGAGTGGTGAAAGAGGGCATCCTTCTCTAATGCCGGATTTCAAAGGGAATGCTTCCAGTTTTTGCCCATTCAGTATGATATTGGCTGTTGGTTTGTCGTAAATAGCTTCTATTACTTTGAGATACGTTCCATCGATACCGAGTTTATTGAGGGTTTTTAGCATAAAGGGCTGTTGAATTTTGTCGAATGCCTTCTCTGTGTCAATTGAGATAATCATGTGGTTTTTGTTTATGGTTCTGTTTATGTGGTGAATTACGTTTACAGACTTGCATATGTTGAACCAGCCTTGCATCCCCGGGATGAATCCTACTTGATCATGATGGATAAGCTTTTGATTTGCTGTTGCAATCGGCTTGCCAATATTTTATTGAAGATTTTTGCATCTATGTTCATCATGGATATTGGCCTGAAGTTTTCTTCTCTTGTTGGGTCTCTGCCGGGTTTTGGTATCAGGATGATGTTGGTCTCATAAAATGATTTGGGAAGGATTCCCTCTTTTTGGATTATTTGGAAGAATTTCAGAAGGAATGGTACCAGCTCCTCTTTGTGTGTCTGGTAGAATTCGGCTGTGAACCCGTCTGGACCTGGGCTTTTTTTGTGTGGTAGGCTCTTAATTGCTGCCTCGACTTCTGACCTTGTTATTGGTCTATTCATAGTTTCCGCTTCGTCCTGGTTTAGGCTTGGGAAGACACAGGAGTCCAGGAATTTATCCATTTCTTCCAGGTTTACTAGTTTATGTGCATAGAGTTGTTTGTAATATTCTCTGATGATGGTTTGAATTTCTGTGGAATCTGTGGTGATTTCCCTTTTATCATTTTTTATTGCATCTATTTGGTTGTTCTCTCTTTTATTTTAATCAATCTGGCTAGTGGTCTGTCTATTTTTTTGATCTTTTAAAAAAACCAGCTGTTGGATTTATTGATTTTTTGAAGGGTTTTTCGTGTCTCAATCTCCTTCAGTTCAGCTCTGATCTTAGTTATTTCTTGTCTTCTGCAGGTTTTGAGTTTTTTTGATCTTGCTCCTCTAACTCTTTCAATTTTGATGATAGGGTGTCAATTTTGGATCTCTCCATTCTCCTCATATGGGCACTTATTGCTATATACTTTCCTCTAGAGACTGCTTTAAATGTGTCCCAGAGATTCTGGCATGTTGTGTCTTCGTTCTCATTGGTTTTGAAGAACTTCTTTATTTCTGCCTTCATTTCATTGTTTATCCAGTCAACATTCAAGAGCCAGTTGTTCAGTTTCCATGAAGCTGTGCGGTTCTGGGTTGTTTTCTAAATTCTGAGTTCTAACTTGATTGCACTGTGGTCTGAGAGACTGTTTGTTATGATTTCAGTTGTTCTGCATTTGCTGAGGAGTGCTTTACTTCCAATTGTGTGGTCAATTTTAGAGTAGGTGTGATGTGGTGCTGAGAAGAATGTATATTCTGTGGATTTGGGGTGGAGAGTTCTGTAAATATCTGTCAGGTTTGCTTGTTCCAGGTCTGAGTTCAAGCCCTGGATATCCTTGTTGATTTTCTGTCCGGTTGATCTGTCTAATATTGACAGTGGAGTGTTAAAGTCTCCCACTATTATTGTGTGGGAGTCTAAGTCTCTTTGTAAGTCATTAAGAACTTGCCTTGTGTATCTGGGTGCTCCTGTATTGGGTCCATATATGTTTAGGATCGTTAGCTCTTCTTGTTATATCAATCCTTTTACCATTATGTAATGGCCTTGTTTGTATCTTTTGATCTTTGTTGCTTTAAAGTCTATTTTATCAGAGATGAGAATTGCAACTCCTGCTTTTTGTTGCACTCCATTTGCTTGGTAAATCTTCCTCCATCCCTTTATTTTGAGGCTTTGTGTATTTTTGCATGTGAGATGGGTTTCCTGGATACAGCACGCTGATGGGTTTTGTTTTTTTATCCAATTTGCCAGTCTGTGTCTTTTGATTGGTGCATTTAGTCCATTTACATTTAGGGTCAATATTGTTATGTGTGAATTTGATACTGCCATTTTGATGGTAGCTGGCTGTTTTGCCTGTCAGTTGATGTAGATTCTTCATTATGTTGATGCTTTTTAGCATTTCGTGTGATTTTGGAATGACTGGTACTGGTTGTTCCTTTCTATGTGTAGTGCCTCTTTCAGGAGCTCTTGTAAAGCAGGCCTGGTGGTGACAAAATCTCTGAGTACTTGCTTGTTTGCAAAGGATTTTATTTTTTCTTCACTTATGAAGCTCAGTTTGGCTGGATATGAAATTCTGGGTTAAAGTTCTTTTTCTTAAGGATGTTGAATATTGGCCCCCACTCTCTTCTGGCTTGTAGAGTTTCTGCTGAGAGATCTGCTGTGAGTCTGATGGGCTTCCCTTTGTGGGTGACCCGACCCTTCTCTCTGGCTGCCCTTAGTATTTTCTCCTTTATTTCAACCCTGGTGAATCTGACGATTATGTGCCTTGGGGTTGCTCTTTTTGCGGAATATCTCTGTGGTGTTCTCTGTATTTCCTGCATTTGAGTGTTGGCCTGCCTTCTAGGTGGGTAAAAATTTCCTGGATGATGTCTTGAAGAGTATTTTCCAGCTTGGATTCATTCTTTTCGTCACATTCTGGTACACCTATCAAACGTAGGTTAGGTCTCTTCACATAGTCCCACGTTTCTTGGAGACTTTGTTCATTCCTTTTTGTGATTTTTTTTCTAATCTTGGTTTCTCGTTTTATTTCATTGAGTTGATCTTCGCCTTCTGATATTCTTTCTTCTGCTTGGTCAATTCGGCTGTTGAAACTTGTGCATGCTTCACGAAGTTCTCATATTGTGTTTTTCAGCTCCTTCAATTCATTCACATTCATCTCTAAGTTATCCATTCTTGTTATCATTTCCTCTAATCTTTTTTCAAGGTTCTTAGTTTCTTTGCATTGATTTAAAACGTGTTCTTTTAGCTCACAAAAGTTTTTCATTATCCGCCTTCTGAAGTCTAATTCCGTCATTTCATCACAGTCATTCTCCGTCCAGCTTTGTTTTCTTGCTGATGAGGAGTTTTGGTCCTTTGTGGAAGTCGCAGTGTTCTGGGTTCGGGTGTTTTCCTCCTTTTTGCGCTGGTTTCTTCCCATGTTTGTGGATTTATCCACCTGTCGTCTGATTAGTTGCTGACTTTTCGATTGGATCTCTGAGTGGACGCCCAGATTGTTGATGATTAATTATTTCTGTTACTTGGTTTTCCTTCTACCAGTCTAGCCCCTCCACTGTACGACTGCTGAGGTCCACTGTAGGCCCTGCTTCTCTGGGTTGCACCTATAGCGGCTGTGGAACAGTGAGGGATGCTACCAGTTTCTTTTTCTGCTATCTTTGTCCCAGAATGATGCCTGCCAAATGTCAGTCTTCTGGATATAGAGGGGTCAGGGAGCTGCTTGAAGAGACAGTCTATAGTTAATAGGAGCTCAAGTGCTGATCTGTGAGCTCTGTTTTTTATTCAGGGCTGTTAGGCTGCTACATTTAATTCTGCTGCAGCAGAACTTATAAAAAAACCCTTTTTTTCTCAGATGCTCTGTCTCGGGGGGTTGGGGTTGTCTTTTTCTTTTTTTGAGATGGAGTTTCACTCTTGTTAGCCAGGCTGGAGTACAATGGCGTGATCTTAGGCTCACCGCAATTTCCGCATTCTGGGTTCAGGCAATTCTCCTGCCTCAGCCTCCTGGGGTTTTCTTTATGTGTCCGTTGCGCTCTCCTGCCCAGCTAGGAGGCAGTCTAGTCACTATTTGCCTGCCGAGGCTCCACCCTGCTGGTATGAGGTCCGTCCTGTTGCTGCAGGCTCTACCCTGCTGCTGTGGTCTCTGCCCTGTGCCACGGGCTATGCCCTGCGGCGGAGTCGCTCTGTTGTGGCGGGTTGCCTCGCAACAGCAGGCTGCATCGGCAATGGGAGTGTACCTCAGTAGGGGCGGGTTGCCTCGGTAATGGCAAATGCCCCTCTTCCACTGAACTGCACCGTCCTGGGTTCCGCTGTGCCCATAGTGAAAATCTCCACCTGGAGCGTTTGGAATCGCCATTTTGTTTGTCCCACTGCCCTGGCTCAAACGCCATTTCCCTGAAATCTCCTGGCCTGGCTCACTGTCTATGTCCCATTCAATCAGATGCATATGCCAATCTGCCCTCTCAAGTCTCAGATTGCCTGTTAAACAGGGCACCTGGATCCGTGCAGAGCTCTGTGGAGCGCCGCTGTGCTGCAGCACTGGCCGCTGGCTGCACCATCCGCCAGGTGCACTAGCCAAAACTGCTGTGCTGGCACCCCGTGTCTTTTTTACACCTGGGAGTTTCCCTGTTCTGTGGGCAAGAAATGTCCGTCTTAAAATGTGGTCCTGACTCACCCTCCACGCGTTCACCGAGAGCTTCAATCCTGGGTTGTTCTCACTGCGCCATCTTTAGTGGTCTCCACTTTTCTTTTAATAGGTGGCTTCACTTTTTGGACCTGGAACCCCATTTACTTTTTCCATAGAGTTTCCATCTTTACCTGAGAAATACCTGCTTAATTGAGGCATTTAGTTAAAACTAGCAGCCCTCTTAAAGGTTTTGGTCCTATCTCCAAGCTTAATTTTCACACCCCAACTGAAAAATAATAGGAGTTGGAGATAGAACACACCCCCTGCCTCCCTCCCCGACCTCCAGTTTAGGTCATTTCATTCCATCAGATGAGCTTGTGTAGAGAAGAGCTGTGCTTCTTTCCTAGGGGGACATTCCACTTAGATTAGATTGATTATGTTTAACTTGGTGATGTTTAATATAGCCTTTCCTTTACACCTGTAGTGCATAATAATTTTGTTCTAATATACTAAAGATACTCTAAAAAACTATGGGTTTCTCCCCATGCCAATCCACCCCAACACATGCACACACTAACACAATCCAGAATGATGATTGTCTCTTGCTAATCTTGCAAGTTCCTGAGAACAGATTGGCTCCCCAGAACTGTAAGGGAAAGATCATGGTCAGATTATGGGAGTGGAAATTGAGGCAATAATGGGAAAGAAAAAAGAGAGACAGAATGTCTTCCCTGATGCTAAGAAGTTTATGACAAAACAGATATACAAAAAGGGAGGCAGAAAGCCTTTCCGAAAAGCAAATAGCTGTGCAAAGCGTCTGTCTGCCTTTGACCAACCAAGTACGTGATTTGTCGGTTCCCTTGTGTTTCTCCTCCCCATTTTGGAAAACACTTAGGTTTCACTTAAAATTTTACCTTTTGGTGAATGGTACTTCTCTGGAAGATTTTGTTTGTTTGTTAACTCAGGGTCTTTGGTATTTACTTGGCCTTTGTTCTGGCGTTGATTTAAAAATGGCACAAATGTGAACCAGCACCCTTAACACCTTTTCATCTCACTTCCATTAAGGAATAAAGTATCTGGGTTTAAACTTGTGTGACACACATTGACGACTTCGTAAACTTGTGTTATATACTGGTTCCAGAGATTTTCCTGGCAGAACTTGGACTAGATAGTTGTTCTGCTACTGAAGACCACTAAGAAGGATAGGAGTTAGAAATAACAATAATAACAATGAACAGAAGTTAGCAGACTTCACTCTGAGTTCTCTTTTTTAAAGACAGGGTCTTGCTCTGTCACCCAGGCTGGAACGAAATGGCAGGTTCATAGCTCACTGCAGCCTCGAACTCTTGGGCTCAAGGGATTTTTCCGACTCAGCCTGCCATGTAGCTGGGACTACAGGAGTGTACCACCACACCCGGCTAATTCTTTTTTCTGTTTTGTAGAGACAGGGTCTCCCATAGTTGCCCAGGTTGTCTTCAAACTCAGACTCCTGGCCTCCAGAAGTCATCCTGCCTTGGCCTCCCAAAGTATTGGGATTGCAGGTGTGACCACTGCACCCAGCCTGAGTTCTCTTTTGATAATTTCTTACAGAAGACTAGAAACACAATACTGTCTTTTCCTCATTGATGCAAAATTTTTACTTGATGGTGTGGATCCATTTTAATAATAATCATTATAGTTTCCTTAGGTTACTCCAAACCTCTTTCCCAGATTTTTGTATACCTTTTTAAAGCATTTAGGGCAAATTGAAGAAAACCAAGACTCCAACTTAGAGCAACAGAGTTTATCAGTATCTTTTGGGTGGGACTCAAACCTTATGTCTTACAGAATAGGACACAGGGACTGCTACCTGCTGACCCAGCTGTAGGAGGGTTAATATCTCTTCAGAGAGAACCACCAGTTGGTTTGCTTAAGATCCTTCATCCTCAGGTCAGTGGTACTACTTTTGTTCAGGATGATAGCACGTAGCATTGTTGGATTTGGGCCCATTTTTTGAATTCTTGTTCTGTTTTTCACTGAAAAACTGAAGCTGAAACCATTGTGAAATTTGGTGATGACCGCAATCATGATAGAGTCCCTTACATTCTGTGAGTCAGCTAATGTATCTGTAAGTCACACTATAGACTTGTTTAAATGACAGTTGATTTCTTAGATGATTTTGTAAATAAGATAGATATTTTAATATTATTCACTAATAAGGAAAGTGACATTTTTGATAACTTGAGTTACATATATTTTAAAAGTCTCTGGTTCATCTATATGTGGAGTCCAAATTGAGGAGTAGATTCTAGAAATACTCCTATTAGCATGATTTGGCACCAAAAAAATTCTTCAGCCTAAGGATGCTCTCGTTATGTCACCTAAAGACTTTAAAAATTATTTTAAATTAGTTGTCTTGTGCATAGATGGTGGGTATTTTGTATTAATACCATTGTTATTAGTAGCTTATTCTGCATACTTAAAGAACTACATATATTCCCTTTCCTAGGAGTTGGACGTTCAATGGAATCTAAGTTGGCATCTTTAGGAATTAAAACGTATGGAGACTTGCAGTATATGACCATGGCAAAACTTCAGAAAGAATTTGGTCCCAAAACAGGTCAGATGCTTTATAGATTCTGCGTGGCTTGGATGATAGACCAGTTCGAACTGAAAAGGAGAGAAAATCTGTTTCAGCTGAGATCAACTATGGAATCAGATTTACTCAGGTACTGATCATTGAACAGATTTTACCATCTGTTGTTCTTTACATTTTTACACAGTCCTACCTCTCTAATGAAACCATAGGACTCTTGATGCTTGAAATTAAGTCTTAAAACTGTTGTATTCCCAGAGCCTCAAGAAGGTCTTTAAAGGCAGTGTGTGATAAGGTATAGCCTAAGATAGGATTGAGACTGAGGAAACCTAGCTTTTGGGGAAATATACTAAAAGATTATGCTTTGGGGGCCAGTTTTTAGAAAACTCGAGATTATAATTATTCTCATTTACAGTGAAAAAAATGAGAAAAATATTTTTTAATGTTGAAATGCTTTTTAAGCTGTAGTTAAAATTAAGTTTCAGTGAACCTCTCCTTTTGCATGCTTTTGGAAAGCTGCAGCACAGATGGCTGAGTAGTTTCCATTTTCCTTCAGATTATGGATTTGAATGTGTCTTGAATTTGTATGTACAAATGACACCATATCATAAGGATTTGAAATGTGATGAGTTAATTATACTCTCGTGCCTACACTGTGGACCTCAGGAGTTTGTTTCCTTGGGCATGGAGATAGAGGATGGTTGGGCTATAGCAGTGTTGGAACACATAATTTATTAGCATAGCTTATTACCATAATTACAAAATAATTTCAATAAGTCATTGATGGCATAGAAAAGAAAGAAAGGAAAAATATCTTTTAAAGTACTCATTACTTTTACTTTGTTAAGAAGGTGGGTATTTTTACTTAATAGTTGAGGGTATTCCAAATGTTGTTTTCTTCTTCTCCTCCTCCTCCTCCTCTTCCTCCTCCTCCTCCTCCTCCTTCTTTTTTCATTTTTTTTTGAGATGGAGTCTCCCTCTGTCACCCAGTCTGGAGTGCAGTGGCGCAATCTCAGCTCACTGCCACCTCTGTCTACTGGGTTCCAGCAATTCTTCTACCTCCTGAGTAGCTGGGATTACAGGTGCCTGCCACCATGTCCAGCTAGTTTTTGCATTTTTAGTAGAGATAGGGTTTCACCACATTGGCCAGGCTGGTCTCAAACTCCAGATCTCAGGCAATTTGCCTGCCTCAGCCTCTAAAAGTGCTGGGATTACAGGCTTGAGCCACCATGCCTAGTCACTTTTTTTTTTTTGAGATGGAGTTTCACTCTGTCAGTAGGCTGGAGTACAGTGGCACTGTCTCAGCTCACTGCAAACTCTGCCTCCCGGGTTCAAGTGATTCTCCTGCCTCAGCCTCCCAAGTAGCTGAGACTACAGGTGTGCCCCACCACATCAAGATAATTTTTATATTTTCATAGAGGTGGGGTTTCACCATGTTGGTCAGGATGGTCTCGATCTCCTGACCCCCTTGGCCTCCCAAAGTGCTGGGATTACAGGCGTGAGCCACTGTGGCTGGCCCACATTTTTTTTTAATAGATGCTGAGCATGATAGTGAGTGACCAACATGTTTAATACTCAAAGTTAAAATACTTACAAACAATTATTAGGTACATAGTAAAGTGGAATGGAAGTTTCTTCATGTTTGCCTTTCCACAGCCAAAAGAGGCAGAAGCTTTTCTTCTGAGTCTTTCAGAAGAAATTCAAAGAAGACTAGAAGCCACTGGCATGAAGGATAAATGTCTAACTCTAAAAATCATGGTACAAAAGCCTGGGGCTCCTGTAGAAACTGCAAAATTTGGAGGCCATGGAATTTGTGATGACATTGCCAGGTAAGCTCATCTCAAAAAGAATATTGGTAATTATATTTCAGTACAGGTTGTTATAAGTAATAGAAAATGAAGAAAACTAAGGAGTTTGAATAAAGAGCTGTAAACCCATGTTACCTGGCGTTCTGTAGAAGCAGGCATTAGTCCAAGGCATTCCACTTAGGTTAACACACTAGGTTTCAGCCAGGTCTACCCACGTGGAGGTTGGTTTGACAGCATTCCTGACCTTGGCAGCCCTTGCTTGGGGTCTTCAGGCTGTTAACTTGACTGCATGGACAGAAAAGGCAAGGCTGCAGACCAAAGGGACTTCTATAGTTTTTGGACTTGGCGAAACTTTGTTCCTTAGGGAAATTTCAGTGTAGTTCTTAAAAACAATAATGCAGGCCAGGTACAGTGGCTCATGCCTGTAATCCCAGCACTTTTGGAGGCCAAGGCGGGTGGACCACTTGAAGCCAGCAGTTCAAGATCTGCCTAGCCAACATGGTGAAACCCCATCTTCAGTCAAAACACAGAAATTAGTTGAGCGTGGTGGAGCTTGCCTGTAGTCCCAGGTACTCGGGATGCTGATGTAGGAGAATTGATGGAACCTGGGAGGCAGAGATTGCAGTGAGCCGAGATCACACCAGTTCACTTCAGCCTGGGTGACTGACAGAGCAAGATTCTGTCTCAAAATAACAATGATGATACACAAAGACAGACTATAGTAGCTATAAAAATGATGGTGAAGGAGAGCAACTACATTTACATAGGTGTATAGATTTAATTGGTGAAAAGATGAATGAATCACTGTAATGCCTGAAAACTGGTAAAAGCTCTTAACCCCCCCCCCTTTTTTTTGAGATCGAGTCAGGCTCTGTCGCCAAGGCTGGAGGGAAGTGGCATGATCTCAGCTCACTGCAAACCTCTGTCTCCTGGATTCAAGCGATCCTTCTGTCTCAGCCTCCCAGGTAGCTGGGGCTACAGGTGTATGCCGGCACACCCAGATAATTTTTTGTATTTTCAGTAGAGATGGGGTTTCACTATGTTGGCAAGGCTGGTCTTGAACTCCTGACTTCAAATGATCCATCCACCTCAGCCTCCCATAGTGTTGGAATTATAGGCATGAGCCACAGTGGCCTCTGAAACCTTGATTTTTTATGTCAGGGCCAGCCACTTAATATTAAACTTCATGTAAGATTTGTGACCACTATGAAGATCCTTGGTTTTACATGTCATTTTATCTGTCAAACCAAAACCGTGTTTTATCTGTTAAACCAAAATTTTGAGACTTTTGACACTGAAAGCTACTTATAAGGAACTATAAAGTATAGTTTTGTTGACGTTTAACTCAAGCCAACCGTACACAGTACATTCATGTATATGATGATACTGTTAGACTATGAGGTGACTGCTCTTAAACAGAGAAACTCCAAGTTCACCATTAATGCATTTGTTAACCATGAAAGCAGGAATTATAAATTATGATCAAACAACATAATTTATAAAACACATTTTTTAATCAGTTGGTTATCTTGAATTATTATATTTACCTACCTAAGTGTTACACGTGTATCTCAAATAGTAAATAGAATTGTCATGTATTTATTTACTTAAAAAATTTATTTTTATAGAAACAGGATCTCAGTCTGCTGCCCAGGCTGGTCTTGAACAATACTTTTGCCTTGCCCTCCCAATGTTTTGGGATTACAGGTGTGAGCCACTGTGCCCAGCCTTTAGGGGCCATTTCTATAAATTAATTAAGTAATATGATTATCTTTTCAAATAGTTTCTAAGGGAAAATCAGATTCAATTTATAATATTTTTTTTGGGAATATTTCCTGTTTAAAGGTCTGGAACTTCATTTGTTCATGATACATGGAAAGGACCATCCAAAACATAAAATAACTTTCCTTTGGAAAGAGAACTGGTAGTAATTTATTAATCTGTTACTGTGTTAGAAATTCTATTTGCCATGAGACACTCTGCTCATGCCAGAGAAGCTCAGAAGGCTTTGATGAAATGGTGGGTGAGGTTAGTACATCTTTGGGACCTAATAATGCTGATGAATCATTTGGTCCTCCTTAAGAGTTCTTTTTTTTTGAGATGGAGTTTCACTCTTGTTACCCAGGCCGGAGTGCAATGGCATGATCTCGGCTCACCACAACCTCCACCTCCTGGGTTCAGGCAATTCTCCTGCCTCAGCCTCCTGAGTAGCTGGGATTACAGGCACGCGTCACCATGCCCAGCTAAATTTTTTTTGTATTTTTAGTAGAGATGGGGTTTCTCCATGTTGATTAGGATGGTCTCGATCTCTTGACCTCGTGATCCACCTGCCTCGGCCTCCCCAAGAGTTCTTAAAGATCTAAGAATTGTATATTGGCTTTTCTCTATAAACAGTGAAAGGAGAGTCAAGAACCAAAATATAGAGAATTCATCTTTCTCTTCTGAATATTTGCTGTACCTCAGCATCAATTATTTGTACATAATCTTAGAACCTAAAACTTCTCTTGGAATCAAGAACATTGTGTTTACCATTCATTTGTGCTGTGGTTGAGAAATGTTATTTATTTTTGTATGTGTTAGCTAACATTTATCTTTTCCTAAATTTCTCAACTTTATTTTCAGTTGACCCACGTGTCCATTATCATTTTTACCTTAAAGTTCCAGTGTTGCATAATTTTTCTTTTTCCCCTTTGTTGCCAATGTAACTAGTATTTTTGGCTTCCTTGAAGGGATATTATGGCATTCACTTTTATAACCTTTGTTGTAACCGTTTATGACTTTTCTATAACTCTTTAAACAGTTACATACTACTGAAGTACTAGTGAATACATATGGAATGAAGCTTTTGTTTCTTAATTCTAACACTTACAGGACTGTATCTCTTGACCAGGCAACAGATAATGGAAAAATAATTGGAAAGGTGATGCTAAACATGTTTCATACAATGAAATTAAATATATCGGATATGAGAGGGGTGTTTGATAAAATTGTAAATTCTGACTTTCTGTAATGTTTCTCTCATTTGAGGCTTGCTCTCAGAATGGCTATTGTTGACGTGTAGGGACTTTATATGTAGATCTTTAGCTGCTTTGTGATACAAGAAAAAGAAACAAAAATTCTTGACTTTCTCCGATTTGATCTCCTTCATTTTCAAATAATTTTCTTAGATTCTTATTGTACTTTCCAATTTACCCCTAATTATCCAGGGGCTAATATACATGTTCCCCCTGTTCTTGTTTTCTAGAAGTGGATATAACTGTTAGGAGTATGAATACACATAAAATTTGCACCTTTAAGGTCCTTTTTAATCAGACACATACTCTGCTGTATGAAGACCTAGAAGGAAGTGAAACCAAAGGCACACCAAGATGCCTTTGAAATAGGCAAGAGGCATCAAAATGTCAAAACTGTAGATTTTTGTTTTTTTGTGAGATGGAGTGTTTGCTCTGTTGCCCAGCCTGGAGTGCAGTGACGTGATCTCAGCTCACTGCAACTTCTGCCTCCTGGGTTCAAGTAGTTCTTCTGCCTCAGCTTCCCAAGTAGCTGGGATTACAGGTGCCCACCACCACGCCCAGCTAATTTTTTAATTTTTAGTAGAGACAGGGTTTTGCCATGTAGGCCAGGCTGGTCTCGAACTTCCTGACCTCAGGTGATCCACCTGCCTCGGCCTCCCAAAGTGCTAGGATTACAGGTGAGAGCAACTGTAACTGGTCCTCATCCCTACTGAAAACACAAAAATTAGCCAGGTGTGGTGGTGCATGCCTGTAGTCTCAGCTACTCGGGAGGCTGAGGCATAAGAATCACTTGAACCCAAGAGGTGGAGCTTGCATGAGTCACTCCAGCCTGGGTGACACAGTGAGGCTATCTCAAATTAAAAAGTCTTTAGAGCTTTAGTTTTATGTGTGCATGTGTAAGTAAGGGTTGTTTTGGCTTGATGTGGGCTTCGTTGAAGTATTAGTCACTAAGCCAGCCATAAGTGAAATTTCTCCTTGAAATACTGTTACAATGGCACTTTATGGAGTATCTGTAGTATATGTACTGTTCTTCACTCCCACCAATATTTTTTGAGGAGTATTTCATTTTAAAAAGATAAAAATAGTGAAGTTTCCAAGTAGACTGTCCTTAATTTTTTTTTTATCCTAATTTAAAACCTCAGTTGACTAGAACTTCAGTGGAATACAGTATTCCACTTGTTTGGATTTCATGATTTTAAAGACGTTTTGGTGTATTTGGGAAAATTGGATACTTTCAAGATTCAGATGAAAATCTAGAAATTGTTTTTGTAATAAGTCATATATAAGACTGAATACTTTGATTTACCTTTATTCTATAAACTGGATCTAGGAGATAGTGAAAAGGATTTGCTGAGGATTTTGCTTAGTCGAATTCATATTTTCACTTTAGTTTTCCTAGAAGCAATCTTTTTTCTGGGTTCTAGGTTGGGATTCACGTTAATCAGTTGGTTCCAGCTGATCTGAACACTTCCACATGTCCCAGTCACCCACTGATTCAGTCAAGCCACTTTCCTCGTGGGTCACACTCTGTCCATGATGTCTTCCAAGTTTAGAAAGCTAAGAAATCCACAGAAGAGGAGCACAAAGAAGGTTGGTGGTCATCAGTGTGGTTCTTGTTTAAGTGCTGCTTATGTCCTTGGAAAGGTGGCAGTTGGTTTTAAAATTGACACAGCTTTATGTGGTTTAAAACATATTTATATTCTTCATTATGATGAATCAATAATAAAGTTATTTTTTTGCATTAGACAGAGGAAATCAGGGATTAAAGGCTCTGCCCGATGATCTGAAGAGGGTATTTTCTCTTTGTAGTATTTCTGGCTGCTGTGGATCTGGAAATATCATCTGCTTCTAGAACTTGCACTTTCTTGACACATTTTCCTGCACATCTGCCGACCAGTATCAGTCCTGATACTAACAAGACTGAGTCTTCAGGGAAATGGAATGGTCTGCATTCTGTCAGTGTGCAGTCAAGACTTAACCTTAGTATAGAGGTCCCGTCACCTTCCCAGGTACACTTTTATGGTTCTAAATATAAGTACAAAAGTCGTTTACAAATGAAAATGGTATTTTTATTTCTTCATCCTAAGAAAGGGAGAAAGGGCCACTTGTTAGGGTAAGTTATGATGTTGATTCTAAGTAAGCAATAATTGGGTTGAGTGAAAGTGCTTTTGCAAAGATTTGCAGCTCTTGCAAGGTATAAAGCATGGTTGAAAGGCAGGCCTCCTGGGAACTGCCATTGTCTGTGACAGTGGTCATTGTGTAGACTTACTGTATTCAGCAAGGCAGCTTTAGTGATTAGTGGGGAAGTAGAGGCCTTACTTCAAAGGGTTTTTTTTTCTTTTTGCAGTATTTACAAACAGGTTTCTGGGATGGTTTAATTCAGCTTGTATGGGCTGTACATGTGTACTGCTGGCATGGCTGTACTGCTGGTGTGGTAGCACCTTAAGCTATATTGGGAAGTTTATTTGTGCCCCTGCTCCCCCTCCATGGAAGGAGGCTGAAGGAGATGTTAAATACTGGCTGTAAAACTAGGGGATGGGGCAATTCTGATATGCATGTTGTATTGGTTTCCAGCTGCTGGTGACAGATACCCGCAGTTGTTCCTGGCAAGATAAGATTGGCCTACCCAGCTGATGGGATTGCATGTTTCCAAAGGGCCGAACATGCATGGAAAGGTGGAGGGAGGTCCTGGCCAACGGACAGTGGATTCTGTCCTGCAAGTTAGAGAAAAGTCAGCTTCTAGAACCTTTTCTTATAGCGTGCCACTGTCAGAGCACAATTATTTGCATTTTTGGGGGGGTCTGTCATCTGAAAAGTGAACTTTTGACCCAGGATTGTTACCTGTCCAGACTTTTAACATGTGCCTCAGGTCTTCCCCCCTCTTCAGGGTGGGATTTGGTTTGAGCTTCACCAAGGCTATCCATATCTGTTGGCTCCAATTGCAGGATATTCCCTGAGTATATTCGGCCTTACCTGGTCACACGGTAGTGGCTGGTAGTGTATACACTTCTCTCCAGACTATACATATTACTTCAGGCTTCAGTGACAAAAGGCCAAGACATTCCAAAAATGTGCTTATCTGGGGGTGCCTTTCGTAGCTTGATGGTCTGTACCTTACATTGGTTATCCACAGTGTTCAAATTGAAATTTAAAGTGGCATGTCAACTACCCAACACCTCATCTCTGAGCGTGCTTTAACTTCAGACTCTGTGTTCGGCATTTTATAGCTGGATCAGTTTGTTTTAGAAGCATTTCCACCTGATATCCGGGAACAAGTAGAGCAAGTCTGTGCTGTTCAGCAAGCAGAATCACATGGCGACAAAAAGAAAGAACTAGCAAATGGCTGTAATACAGGAATTTTGCCACAACCAGTTGGGACAGTGTTGTTGCAAATACCAGAACCTCAAGAATCGAACACTGACACAGGAATAAACGTTATAACCCTTCCAGCATTTTCACAGGTAAGTTAAATACAGGGATCCTGTGCTGTAGTTTCAGTATTCTCACCCCGCTGCTCCAGTTCAGGCCCTGTGTCACTTGCCTTTCTCCTCTGTATCTTACACCTCTTCCAGTGGGGAGCGGAGGGGAGGGTGGGCTTGTCTCCATCTCCTCCATCTGCAGCTTCCTGCTGAAGCAGCAGAGGGAAGACATGGGGGGAGGCATGGTAAGACAGAAACACATGGATCTGGCCCAAACAGATCAGTGGCCACACTTGCATACAACACAGTGGAGATGTATAATCCTACATGGGGGACAGTAACAACCTGAGTTTCTGTTTTAATGTTTTGCTTCCCATTTTCTACTAGTGCATTTTACCCTGGTTGTTCTGCTGTTGTAGTGGGTTTTCTTAAGTTAGTATTCTTAATTCATTATTCTTGCTCTAACCGTTTTGAAGATTTAACCAGCTTTGATAATTGGGGACCTGTTAAGAATTCATACAGATCAGAAAAGTATTATTTGAAAAAAAAATCTATTTTGTGAAAAACATAAACTAGTTACCATCTAGAATTAGTTCAGGTTTGACTTTGACCTTGTCTTTTCCACTGGGTGGACCCTGAGGTATTTGCTGCCCTTCCTGCTGAACTTCAAAGGGAGCTGAAAGCAGCATATGATCAAAGACAAAGGCAGAGAGAGAACAGCACTCACCAGCAGTCAGCCAGCGCATCTGGTGAGCCTTGGAAGTGGCATGTAACAAAAATGAAAATAAAGAGTAATGGAGTCACTCTAATGTGTAATTATTGGCAGTGTATAATGGCCAGAGTCTAAGCTGTTAGTGGCATTAAGAGCTCTTTGTATTGGGATATCTGAAGTATACAATATGAGTAAATACCGTATTTCTAATTGGGTTTGTGTCTGTATTTTCATGATTAAATACACTTTTTACTTTTTAAAAAGTTGGAATAGGACATTGCTAGAAGTGTTTTGAATTACTTGTCCAGCTAGTTGTCCTTTGAGATGAATACATCAAAGAATGTAGGTTCAAAACAAAATCTGAAAGTTTCTGGATATGCATCATAAACACCAAACCCACATTTATTACTGCTTATAATATATAAGCAACACGCCAAAGGTCAAATTAGTAAGTGGCAAAGCAAAGAGAGAATTGGAGAGCCTGCACTTTCAGCCATTGCCATCCACTGCCTCTCACTCCTGGCAGGAGGGGCGGGGTGGGCTAGGGAGACTGTTACATTTTGGAGGAGGAAAGAGAACCCAATGCAGACTGTCTGTACTCATATTATCATTTTGTGGAGGATCTTTTTTTTTTTTTTCTTTGAGACGGAGTTTCGCTCTTGTTACCCAGGCTGGAGTGCAATGGCGCAATCTCGGCTCACCGCAACCTCCGCCCCCTGGGTTCAGGCAATTCTCCTGCCTTAGCCTCCTGAGTAGCTGGGATTACAGGCACGCGCCACCGTGCCCAGATAATTTTTTGTAATTTTTAGTAGAGACGGGGTTTCACCATGTTGACCAGGATGGTCTCGATCTCTTGACCTCGTGATCCACCCGCCTCGGCCTCCCAAAGTGCTGGGATTACAGGCTTGAGCCACCGCGCCCGGCCTTGTGGAGGATCTTATATCCATCTTCTTTTAGTGCCAAAGAATGCTTTACTTCAGCTAAAGCCAGCAGCAGTGAAAGAAAAGAAACAAGAAAAAAAAAAAAAAAAAACAAAACAAACCTATCGGTTCCCCAAAAAGGATTCAGAGTCCTTTGAAAAACAAGCTGCCTAACAGTCCCACAGAAACTCTGCCAGGGGCCTGCGGGAGTCCCCAGAAGTTAATTGATGGATTTCTAAAACATGAAGGACCTCCTTCAGAGAAACCCCTGGTAATTCTTTAATGTGGACCTTTATGAGATCTTAATGTACCTGGATAATGTGTGAATATAGTAATTTTATCCTTTGTTTTCTTAACAGGAAGAACTCTCTGCTTCTACTTCAGGTGTGCGAAGCCTTTCTAGTTTGCAGCCTGACCCAGCTGGCTGTGTTAGACCTCCAGCACCCAATCTAGCTGGAGCTGTTGAATTCAATGATGTGAAGACCTTGCTCAAAGAATGGATAACTACTATTTCAGGTTGGCTTGGCCTGTGTTAGATGGCCCAAGGCTGAGATCTAGTGGTCTCATGATTTGGGAACATAAACAGACTAAACTATGGAGATTTAAACCATTTCTCTAACTCATAATAAGCTTAAAGGAGCTACCCCTAAAGCTTTTAGATTCCGGGGCTTGATTTGAAAAGTAACAAAGCCCATTCCTTTGAGAGCTGTAGGTTAGTGGTATAGTTGTAGAAATGCAGCTTTCCTTTATCCTTGCAGATCCCTGCCTTTCTCCTTCAAAAAGATATACTTTTACTCATTTGAAGTTTTTCCCCTTCCTAGATCCAATGGAAGAAGACATTTTGCAAGTTGTAAAATACTGTACTGATCTAATAGAGGAAAAAAATTTGGAAAAACTGGATCTAGTTATAAAACACATGAAAAGGTAATTCATCACTTTTATCAAAGGGGGAAAAATGGCGTGTCACAATGACTAATTGAGGGTGTACTACTGAGAAGTTTTAACCTTTCTGGGAAACTACGCTTTAGGATTAATGAAAAAGTGATATCTTTTATTTTGAAATCCCAGAGGAATAAATGCTATGTTGACTGAGTAGTAAATAAGGTCAAAGTGTGTTGTCTTCAAGGTCTTTTTTACACATGATTAAAATACCTTAGGAAGTGGGCTAGGCACAGTGGCTCACATGTTGGGAGGCTGAAGTGGGTAGACCATTTGAGACCAGACTGGCAAAAATGGCATAATCCGATCTCTACCAAAAAATATAAAAAATAAATAGTATGGGCGTGGTGGCATGTGTGGTCCCAGTTGGGAGGTAAGGGCTGCAGTGAGCCATGATTGCACTACTGCACTCTAGCCTGGTTGATAGAGACCTTGTCTCAAAAAAAGAAAATTGTTTTTTGGGTGTTTTGGGATTTTTTTTTTTGAGACAAGAGTCTCACTCTGTCACCAGGCTGGAGTGGCTCATTGCAGCCTCTGCCTCCTGGGTTCCAGCAATTTTCTTGCCTCAGCCTTCTGGGTAGCTGAGATTATAGGCATGTCACCATGCCCAGCTAATTTTTGTATTTTTTTAGAGATGGGATTTCACCATGTTAACCAGGTTGGTCCTGAACTTCTAATCTTAGCGTATCTGCCCACCTTGGCCTCCCAAAGTGCTGGGATTACAGGCATGAGCCACTGCACCCAGCCAGGATTCTTTTTTTTTTTTTTTTTCCCAAATCAGTTTTTATAGGTAAAAAGGAATAGTCTTTAAGGACCTTTCCTAATGATGTTTCTTTTCTCCCCACCTTTAGGTTGATGCAGCAATCGGTGGAATCGGTTTGGAATATGGCATTTGACTTTATTCTTGACAATGTTCAGGTGGTTTTACAACAGACTTATGGAAGCACATTAAAAGTTACACAAATATACCCAGAGAGCCTGATGCTCTCCGATAGCTGTGCCATAAGTGCTTGTGAGGTATTTGCAAAGTGCATGATAGTAATGCTCGGAGTTCTTATAATTTTAAATTTCTTTTAAAGCAAGTGTTTTGTACATTTCTTTTCAAAAAGTGCCAAATTTGTCAGTATTGCATGTAAATAATTGTGTTAATTCTTTTACTGTAGCATAGATTCTATTTACAAAATGTTTGTTTATAAAATTTTATGGATTTTTACAGTGAAGTGTTTACAGTTGTTTAATAAAGAACTGTATGTATATTTTGTACAGGCTCCTTTTTGTAAATTCTTAAAAACTCAACTCTAGGAAGCTACTACTGTTTATTATACTAAAAGGCTGAAAAACCTCCAGGCCAGACTGCTAAGCTCTGAAATTCCTGAGAGGTCTCAGACTGGGATTCTACTTGCTCCAAGAAAGGGTAAAGCTTCTAAACCATCTTATTCTTGTCTTGTTCTTGTCAAGCACGAACACAGGAGCATGTTAAGAAAATCTTTACTTCTTCCATGCAGAGAAATCTATGTATTTTGAATTAGAAGCACCCTCACACCCACTTGAAGATTTTTTCCTGGGAATATTATTGTCCCACAGATCAGAGGTGGCATTGTCTTTGCCTCTATTGGCCATTGAGAAACTTTGATGATAAAAAGGAACGGTATAGATTTTCAAGCGTATATAAAATATTTGTATGCAATATGTTTTGCCATGACTTTAAAATAAGAATATAGTTTAAAAGTCTATGCTACTGGGTATTTGGAACTTTTTCCTCAGACACCCCATATTGACTTCAAAACAACCACAGAACTAGCTACAGATTACTACTAAGAATGAATCATTAAGGTTTTCCTACTACAATTTAGAAGCACTAAGCCCAAATATCAGGAAATGTATGCATGATGGAATTTTCTAGGACAAAACATACCAAGATTAATGTAAAAAAATCTCTACTGTTACCAGGTGCTGACATTCAAGGTAGTGTGACAGTTGTTGGTAAGATGATTCTTGTCCTAGGCGGACAACTTTTGGGAGAGAAGCTACACTAACATGGAAGCCTAACAGAGCTTACTGGTCGATGTCTCTTTTCTTTATTGGTAGTTTGGATTGGAATTGGGATGATTACAATGGACTCATGACGACACAAGCAGTAAAAAGCAGCCAGTTGTGCTTTTACACCATGGTTTCACACGAAGCAGATAAGTGTCAGAATACCTAACTTTCTATTTTATAAAAGCCCTAAAGGCATATGGCAGAAGAATGCTGGGAAGAATATGCATAAATAAAGAAGTATTTCTGACATCAAAAAAGTCCCAAGAATCACAAAATCTGCGGAAGCTTGGTTAATCAAATACTGCAGTACTGATTTAATCAGCATAAAATTGAAAGAGCTTTAGATCTGTAATAAAAATCCAAATTTGGGGAAGGGCAAACTTTAAAACAGCAGCCAAGTAGAGAAGGGTTGGGGAAAGGAGGGGTGAGTGAATAGGCACATTGGAACTGTGGGAACAAGTAATTGACCACTGTCAAACCAGTGTAAGTTTCTTGGTTTCTCATGGAAAACATTTTATACACCTATTTTTCTTCCTTCCATATTTAAGTCCATTAGTGTCCAGATACATCTGTTCCATTTTTTGTCTTGTTTTGTTGGCATATTACAACACAGTATTGCATTTACTCCAGTTCCTGTTCCATGTGGAAGAATTAGATGATTTCAAATACATTCTTCAGCTCCACAATGAGCTGCCAATCACTCTTCTGCATTTCATCTCTGAACCAGTCTTTGAGTGCATCAGTGGACTGCCGGCTGATCTGCAATGCCCAAGGCACAAACAGGGTAAACACAATGGAACAAACATGTACCAAAAAAAAAAAAATCTGTGGCCCCAGATGCCTGCTGTGACTGTAATAAAGCTTAAGCAGAAATAAAAACAGGGTTTGCCTGCCTAGGGGACTAGAATTCCAAAATCACCTCTTGTTGGCATGTTGGGCACAAGGGGGTTTAAAGTCCTAGCTGCTTCTCTGTTGGTGCTGCTTTCCTGATGGGGCAACTTCCTCATCAGACAAGACCCAGCTAGAGATCAAGCCCTAATGGGAGATCCAGCCCCATCAGATTCTACAATCAATCTGAAGCCCAAGGAGCTATGGGGTGCAGATGACCCAAGAAGAGTCTGCCATGTTTGCTAAAATACTTAGCTTACTGACAAGAATGTCTGTAGCTTCAAAATGTCTTCCAAACATTTTGGGTGACTCACCAGGGATAGGTTCTATTTTTACACAGACTTCTTGTCTTTTTTTTGCAACATCCACTTGCTTATAGTCAATACTTGTTACTATTCTTATGTCAACAAACTGTAAAATAAGAACAAATTACAATGGCATGCAGAAGAATTCATGCCCATCACAGGCTCCATGACTGGATAGCTGAAGTAAGAACTGGAGCACAAGAGACTGTTTTCGAAGTCATGGCAGTGCGATCCTTCACTCATCACTTAATGTCTCACAGTGTAGCATTCTCATTTGGTAAATTAGGCTTGCACCACCACACAGCCTATTCCCTTTACATGTTGTAAGAATGACAGGAGATAATGCGCTCTGCAAAACATTACAAGTGCCCTGTTGACCCAATGTCATTTTCTATTTTTGTTATACTGTTTTACGTGACAGGTGCCCTAACAGGAGGGATCAGCAGGGACAGAGGGTCTGGGTCAGGAATGAGCTTAAGGCGACTGGTGGGAATGAAGTCATATTGAGGACCTCATCCTGAAATTAAAGAATAACGGCCTGTGAGCAGATGAATGATGTGATCTCATAGTTTTGGGAAAAAAACCCTGACTCGCTTGTGGAGAAAAACATTCAAGAAACTCAGAGGGAAAACAGGGACAGCTTTGATTTAGGAGGCCAAAGCCACATAGAAAAAATAATTACCACAAATAAATGTCCTGGCTTAGTCCACTGAAATGGTAGAGAAGCTATGACAACTTCTTTTTTTTTTAAATTTTTTATTGCATTTTAGGTTTTGGGGTACATGAGCAGAACATGCAAGACAGTTGCGTAGGTACACACATGGCAGTGTGTTTTGCTTCCTTTCTCCCGTTCACCCACATTTGGCATTTGTCCCCAGGCTATCCCTCCCAACCTCCCCCTCCCACTGGCCCTCCCCTTTTCCCCCCAATAGACCCCAGTGTTTACTACTCCCCTCCCTGTGTCCATGTGTTCTCATTTTTCAACATCCGCCTGTAAGTGAGAATATGCGGTGTTTCATTTTCTGTTCTTGTGTCAGTTTGCTGAGGATGATGTTCTCCAGATTCATCCATGTCCCAACAAATGACACAAACTCATCATTTCTGATTGCTGCATAATATTCCATGGTGTATATGTGCCACATTTTTCCAATCCAGTCTATTATCAATGGGCATTTGGGTTGATTCCAGGTCTTTGTTATTGTAAACAGTGCTGCAATGAACATTCGTGTACATGTGTCCTTATAGTAGAACGATTTATAGTCCTTTGGATATATACCCAGTAATGGGATTGCTGGGTCAAATGGAATTTCTATTTCTAAGGCCTTGAGGAATCGCCACACTGTCTTCCACAATGGTTGAACTAATTTACACTCCCACCAACAGTGTAAAAGTGTACCTTTTTCTCCACATCCTCTCCAGCCTCTGTTGTCTCCAGATTTTTTAATGATCGCCATTCTAACTGGCGTGAGATGGTATCTCAATGTGGTTTTGATTTGCATCTCTCTGATGACCAGTGACGATGAGCATTTTTTCATATGACTGTTGGCATCATATATGTCTTCTTTCGTAAAGTGTCTGTTCTTATCCTTTGCCCACTTTTGAATGGGCTTGTTTGTTTTTTTCCTGTAAATCTGTTTGAGTTCTTTGTAAATTCTGGATATCAGCCCTTTGTCAGATGGGTAAACTGCAAAAATTTTTTCCCATTCTGTTGGTTGCTGATTCACTCTAGTGACTGTTTCTTTTGCCGTGCAGAAGCTGTGGAGTTTGATTAGGTCCCATTTGTCTATTTTGGCTTTTGTTGCCAATGCTTTTGGCGTTTTGCTCATGAAGTCCTTGCCTACTCCTATGTCCTGGATAGTTTTGCCTAGATTTCCTTCTAGGGTTTTAATGGTGCCAGGTCTTATGTTTAAGCCTTTAATCCATCTGGAGTTAATTTTAGTGTAAGGTGTCAGGAAGGGGTCCAGTTTCTGCTTTCTGCACATGGCTAGCCAGTTTTCCCAACACCATTTATTAAACAGGGAATTCTTTCCCCATTGCTTGTTTTTGTCAGGTTTATCAAAGATTGTATGGTTGTAGATATGTTGTGTTGCCTCCAGTGCCTCTGTTTTGTTCCATTGGTCTATATCTCTGTTTTGGTACCAGTATCATGCTGTATTGATTACTGCAGCCTTGTAGTATAGTTTGAAATCCGGTAGTGTGATGCCCCCCGCTGTGTTCTTTTTGCTTAAAATTGACTTGGCTATGCAGGCTCTTTTTTGGTTCCATATGAAGTTCATGGTGGTTTTTTCGAGTTCTGTGAAGAAAGTCAATGGTAGCTTGATGGGGATAGCGTTGATTCTGTAAATTACTTTGGGCAGTATAGCCATTTTCACGATATTAATTCTTCCTAACCATGAACATGGAATGTTTCTCCATCTGTTTGTATCCTCTCTGATTTCGTTGAGCAGTGGTTTGTAGTTCTTCCTGAAGAGGTCCCTTACGTTCCTTGCAAGTTGTATTCCAAGGTATTTTATTCTTTTTGTAGCAATAGTGAATGGCAGTTCGTTCTTGATTTGGCTTTCTTTAAGTCTGTTATTGGTGCAGACAAATGCTTGTGATTTTTGCACATTGATTTTATATCCTGAGACTTTGCTGAAGTTGCTTATCAGTTTCAGGAGTTTTTGGGCTGAGGCGATGGGGTCTTCTAGGTATACTATCATGTCGTCTGCAAATAGAGACTATTTGGCTTCCACCTTTCCTATTTGAATACCCTTTATTTCTTTTCTTGCCTGATTGCTCTGGCTAGAACTTCCAGTACTATATTGAATAGGAGTGGTGAAAGAGGGCATCCTTGTCTAGTGCCCGATTTCAAAGGGAATGCTTCCAGTTTTTGCCCATTCAGTATGATATTGGCTGTTGGTTTGTCGTAAATAGCTTTTATTACTTTGAGATACGTTCCATCGATACCGAGTTTATTGAGGGTTTTTAGCATAAAGGGCTGTTGAATTTTGTCGAATGCCTTCTCTGCGTCAATTGAGATAATCATGTG